TTTCGTATCCCTGAATTAGATGATATCGGGCACTATTTTATTAAACTGACATTCATTATATGATATTTTATGTCCTGATTATAACACATTTAAAGAAAATTAATAAATTATCAACTTCAGGAATGGCTTATAGCTCTCAGACTACGCAACGCAGAAATAACACGATACCACGAATACAATGCCGAAAGTTCTACGATATGGAGACACAGAGATCTATGGAACGCCGTTTTACTTTTTAATGGCAACCGTATTTAAGAATTTAGAAGAATGAATTATGAACAAATAAAAATATCTTACGAGATATTTTTAATTAATTACAAATATCTTAGATATTTTTAATTGCACTTTTTGCTTCAAGGTTATTTAAATAATCTCTGAGATATTTTTAATTCGTGTATACATAAACGGGAAAAAATATAATTTCGGTTTTATCGATATCTTAGATATATTTTTAAATAATTAAAAATATCTCATAGATATTTTTAATTCAAATAAGGAAGAAACCTCATTAACTTATTTAAAAATATCTCTAAGATATTTTTAAATTGTGTATTTATCAATATCTTAGATATTCAAATATATATAGACTCAATTAAAAATATCTTAGATATTTTAAATTAAAGTTTATTTAAAAATATCTAAGATATTGTAAATTACCGCCATCTAGCAGCAACGTTTACGAAATAGTTATAAAATAAGTTTGACAACCTCGCAAATTTCTTGTATTGGGTACGTCGATCAGCTGATGTGTGTTATTGTTTGTTTTGGTGGAAATTGTGCCAATTCTGTTATTTTTATTATTGGTTTATAGAAACTTATGACTTTTTGTGCGTGTTATTTTTGCTTGAGTGTTGTACTCAGTATTTCTCATTTTCTGTACATTTTTACAGGATCGCGTTAACGGTGCAAGAACATTTAAGAACGTTTTAGTGTAATTTAATTGTAAATACCTAGTGATTAAACATTTTTTGAGAATCGTTTTGGTATATATTAGATTAGATACTAGCAATGGCAAGTTGTGCTATAAATGGTTGTAAAAACAACAGAAAATTTCCTGTGATCAATAAAAAATTTACATTCCATAGGTTAGTTAAATTCAGCACTGATACATTATAAATCAAAATTTATATTCTTTTAGTTTCCTTAAATAAAGGTGAAATGCGAAAAGTGTGGTTAACACTGCATGATAATCTGCACCAACTAATACTTCTTGTGGAAGCTCTAATAAAGCATTAATTGATGAATTTAATGCATTAAATGTAGTATCACAAATGTTACTACGGATCCTTCTGAGGTTTCCTAATGCAAAGTGCAAATGTGAATGTGGGAATTGTTTTGTAGTTTCATATAATCTACAAGCACTTGCTATTGTTCTTCTGAGACGACTCAAAACATCCCCTACATCCATATTTAAGTTTTAAGTAAAACCTAAAACGAGCCGTTGATCACACGCAGAAACGATAACAAACATATACCTATAGATATATGACCACCAATCAATACACGTAAATTAATAATCAGAAATGAAAACTTCACAGAGGTTAGAAAACAAACTAATTACAATGTTGCCAGATGTCTTAATATAATTAAAACCGAACTTCTCACTAGGTGGCGCCAATTTCCTATATCTTAGATATTTGAAATAACATTTATAAATATAAATGAGGTGTATTTTAAAATATCTAAGATATTATAAATAAAAATTAGGCATTTTAATATGAAAAGTCGTTTTACTTTTGAATGATAATCGAGTTTAAGAATTTAGAAGAATAAATTTTAAACAAATAAAAATATCTTAGAGATATTTTTAAATAATTACAAATATCTTAGATATTTTTAATTGCAGTTTTTTCATCTAGGTTATTTAAAATATCTCTGAGATATTTTAAATTCGTGTATACATAAACGAGAAAAAAAATAATTTCGTTTTTATCGATATCTGAGAGATATTTTTAAATAATTAAAAATAATTAAAAATATCTCATAGATATTTTAAATTCATATAAAGAATAAACCTCACTTTATTGATATCCTCAAAGCTTAACTTATTTTAAAATATCTCTAAGATATTTTTAAATCGTGCATTTATCAATATCTTAGATATTGGAAAATATATTAATTCAATTAAAAATATCTTATATATTTTTCAATGTAGCGTATTTATTGTAATCGTGTTACACAGTATTGAATTGACACAATTAAAAATATCTCTAAGATATTATTGATCATTTACTAATATCTAAAATTTGACAACAAAATGATTTAAAAATATCTTAGATATTTTTAAATAAGTTAATACGGTTTCTTCCTAATTTGAATTTAAAATATCTATGAGATATTTTTAATTATTTAAAAATATCTCTAAGATATCGATAAAACCGAAATTATATTTTTTCTCGTTTATGTATACACGAATTAAAAATATCTCAGAGATAATTTAAATAACCTAGAAGCAAAAAGTGCAATTAAAAATATCTAAGATATTTGTAATTAATTAAAAATATCTCTAAGATATTTTTATTTGTTCATAATTCATTCTTCTAAATTCTTAAATACGCTTGCCATTAAAAAGTAAAACGGCGTTCCATAGAGATCTCTATAGATTTATAAAAGGAGTCTGAAAGTGAAAATTAGTGAGAATGAAAAATGCGTTAAAAACAAGTCAACCTAATACAACAGTCGGTAAAAGTATATGGTGCAGTTAAATAAAAAATGCATAAATCTTCAATAAATTTAACTAAAAATTCGCATTTAATTCTCATTTTATGGATTTGATTTGAAGAAAAATGCATTTTATAAATCGAAAAAAGTGCCCGATGTTAACTAATATAATGAAAAGGTAGTTCAGAGAAGGGAAAGTACAACACTTAACCAATTAAGTTGACTTTTTTTTTAATGAACACTGTGAAAATGGTATGCCCACCTCTTACCTACTGCAGTATTATGACCGTATAAGAACGAAAGTTAAATTTTGAAAAAACTATTTTGTCTTAAGTTACATGGTGCTGAAGAATAGTCATTACCAATTAAATGAACTTAATTAAAAATTGTTTCGATTTTATGGCAACTGCTCGAGAAACAGAAAAGCCTTCGGCGAACGGAATCGAGGTCATGCAAGTAACACAAAAATAAAAATTCCTAATGCCCGCATTACAGCGAATTGCAAATTGTTAATATAGTCGTGCGTATATGAAATTATAGAATGAAATCCGTGATAATCAGCTCATTCTGAATAAGTAGGTATCTAATTACCTATAGTCTACATTTCTTCTAGCAACCAAATTCCAGTAGAACAACGCGAAGACCTCATTTTCATAAAAAGAATCATATTTTTCCTTTGTTATTACATAAAGTGTATAATTTTACCGAATTTCCTCACTATGTATCTTTTTAGTTTTTGTAGTTATAACAATTGTGTGATTTGGACAAAAGGTTTTAGCGAATTAACACCTTCCGTGACACTTGCGTTTACGCATTTCCTAACCATTTAATTGTATAAACCCCCATTTTCTAGATACATAATTATAATAATGTCACCACTCGCTCTTCTTCACGATAACAAAACTCGAATTAGAATTCAACGTGATTAGGTAACACCTCAATAGGTTAGGTAACTGTAGAGCAAATGATTTTAATCGAATTTCAATTAAATTAAATTAAGTCGGTTGATAATAACTGTATTTAAAATATTAATGAATTATATTCGCGCCGTAAATCCTTTTAGAATTATGAAGAAGAAAGCGTACTGATCTCTCGTTTTTTTTAACTCGTAGTAACAAATTGATCGTGAGAGCAGACGATACCAAATGTATGTAGTGAAAGTGAAATTAAAAACAATGCATTTACAACTATCTAACATGACTTGCTTATCCCATAAGGGAAGTAGTAAGCACGTCAAACACTTCTGATGGTATTGCGGATTCCTATACTTTTCTCCAAAACCATATTCCAATATACTAACCGAATTAGACCATGGCAATGTGATTAATGGAACGTTCGGTATTGCAGGATAGGAAACGGTTCAGCAAAAGTAAACATCGCAACCTATGTAAGCAAGAAGGATGTCCGCTCTAGGTAGTTTTTAAAAAGTATGTAAACGCATATGCTATTACAAAGTATACAACTTACAAAAACCTAAATATGTTTCCTTTTAACGTGGGTAATAATGTAAATTGGTAGGTAGTAATTTGTTGAAAATTGTGAGTTTCCTAACAATAAGTAATACACACTCATAATATTTTAACATTTTACTTACGATGAAGTAACAGTTTATGTCACTTGGTAAGGATCTTGACCTAATCCAAAACAACCAAACAAATTTATTAGGACTGGTTTATATAATTTGAAACGATCAAAATGCTGTTTTGGCCAAATCAGAATACTTGCCCAATATCACAGGCGTTAATGAAGATGTTATGTTGACATATACGTTTAAGCGAGATTATAAAATTGATAATTGGGAATACTCAACCGTCCTAAAATCGTAAAAGCATAACGGCAAAAAATGAAAGCTTTGCTGTTTTTATTGTTCCATAACAAGGAGATAATTGAAAAACCTTAATCTGATCTTTGTTGTTACAGTACCATTGCGTAATTCCCAATTTTGATATACCGGTGCACAACAAGTAGGTCTTAGCGTTATTGTAATACTACTTAATAATGCCGTTTATAATCAAAACCATCCCTTAGCGCTGGAGCACATTTAAACATCCTACACCTCTTTGCCCAAATACAGGCCCAAATATTCATGTGATGAGTATTGTAATTGGCATGAATGAGAACTGTACGTTCTCCTGTGCCAAAATGAAAAGGGCGAAAAGATTTTAAATTAAGTCAATTAGTATTGTTATAGTTCCACGCACACCGTGGTAATAATTAACGATGTCTATGCATTAGAGAAAACAACTTTATTAAATACTTTGAAATTTAAAAATGGATGAGGATAAATAGGCTAATTGGCTTTAAGTACCAAACATAATTTAAGCTTGTCATCCACTCACCTCCTTTAGTTCCATCATCAACATAGTCACAGGAACATTAATTGTCTTCTACCACTTTTTGTTTGTACAGCTTAACAAAATTAAAAGACGCACCGCAGTTTGACTAATTTACGCACGCACGGTATCACATTCAACGCAACAAGAACACAAATTCCTAAAGTGAACGTTTCATCTGCCTACACCGCAAGCAATCCATTGAGTCCACCTGCCAGGTGAGAGTGTAAGAAAATACTACTTACACCGTTATGATGAGTGTGAGGTAGTAGGTGTAATAAAATGTAGTTTTAGGAGACAAACTACTGCATGAGTACCTACTCGTATCATTTATTGCTATTTTGTCGTTTTACTATTTGAATAAATTATGTAATTTTATTTGAAAGTCACGAAAAAAAAATTAATTATACATAATATAATTTAAGCAATTTGTTAGGATTTAGATAATGCATCAGGCATGAAATTGGAAGCACATCTACCATTTAAAATTGTAACGAAGTTTTCCTGTCACTTTAAGGAAACATTTACAATCGAGAACTTTTACTTCCTTTTAGTCAAAAGGAACGAAACCCTCACTTTTTGGGTTTCCCTTCTAGCACGCCGTTGAAATTTCCCTCCTGAATTTCGCAAGCTATAATTAAAGTTTCCTTTAACAAAGTAATGAGACTCCACTAAGTATTTCCGACCAACATAAACGCATCTTCGAGTTTGGTTGCAACCGATTTAACATTTGTCATTTTCATTTGAGTGTAGAGAACCGAAAATGTATCATTTTCAAGTTGAACAAAGAGGCCTCATAAAATTTTGATCAAAAGAAGGCAATGGCTCGAAGAATGTCCAGGAAAGAATGCTGACAGCGTATTACACTTTGAGCTTTCTGCCAGGCAAGAAGGCGAAGACTGGGGCCACAGTTGAGGCTTGGTCACAGTTTTCTGGAACTCGGAATAGATTCTCTAAATTAAAGATATGCCAAACGGATCTACAACAACACAGTTAAGAAGTTAAAAAAACATAATTGTACTCACAATATTTTGAGTCTGCACAACTGCACAGTGCATAAAGCACTAAAATTTTTCAAGAAGGAATTAATGGGTGCCGTTTTAAAGAATCAGCACATCCATCTGACATCACACAGTACCGCTCTGGCACCCTGTGACTATTATATGTTTTAAAACTAAAAAAACACTTAACAAGGGACTCGTTTTATATCGAGTGATTTACTTGGACATTGCTGAACAGTCGTATTTTGCACAATCGCCACAGCATCGCCTTGCTGTAAACATACAGTTGTTAGAAAGACGTTGGTTGGCATAAATGTGTTAATGCAAAAGGGTTCAAAAATAAAGTTTCGTTCCCATACAACAGAATCAGCTCGGTAGATAACATTAGAAACTCTCCTCGTAACTTCAACTCACGTAACCTTTTTTCTTAATTTCCCGCCATTTTTTAGCTCTTTTGTGCCGCTACTTCCTTAACGCATTGAATTTCTGGAACTACATGGTTTGAAAGTTACACAGAGCTCAAAAGCGTTACCTTCTTATCAGGGCCGCATTTAGCCATTCAGCGCCCCTAGGCCTACAAACTAAAGAGCGCCCCCTACCTCCGCACTCTTATCGCACCCCATACACGTCCAGTTGTAAATAAATTATTCTTGATATTGTCAAAATTGTATTTGATTTGGATGGTGTATAGAATAACGAAAATATGAACTCCAAAATAGTACACAAACACAATACATTTATGATAGATAATATTCACAAATTCTGACCATTTATTAAAAACCAGAAATAATTACATCCTGGTTCGTCATGTAGAAATAAAAAGAAAAGTTCATTAAACATAATTATAAGCTCCAAACGCATTCAGTTATTACATACAGTCAATCAAAATCCTATTTTAAGGGAATTTTCTTCTTTGCTTAGATTCAACAAAACTGCTTATTATTTCTTCAAAGTCAAGGCTTTCAGTTAGATCAGATTCTATGGCCATTACAGAGAGTGCATTGAGTTTGCACTGGCTTAAGGATTTCCGTAAATGGTTCTTCACTCGTTTTAGGGTAGAAAAAGAGCGTTCACCGCTGCAGTTGGTCACAGCTGTACTCAACACTATTCTTAACACAATCTCCATGTTGGGAAATATGTTTTGCAAGTTCTTGTCGTAAATCAATTGGAGAAGAAACTTGAAGGATGGTCGATTCTTTTTGGTCTCATTCTCCTCTTCTCTTTCCCTAGCCGACTTTTCGCTCTTCAAATAATACTTGAATTGCACACACTCATCTGGGAAGCATTCTTCCAAATCAACTTTATATAGTTCAAGAAGCTGTTTACATTTTGATCTGATGGCGTCGTCTTCCAGTGTTGTTAAATTCAACAAAAATCCAAACCTGTTCTGGATACCTTTGTAAGCGTTTGCCCTTTTTCTTTCTTTTGTACCCCTTCCAATTTAGCGCCCCCTAAAAATTTGCGCCCTAGGCCTGGGCCTAGTTGGCCTAATGGGAAATGCGGTACTGAACATCGTACACAAGACCGTTCAACAATATTATCCATTAATATCGCAAGGTCTCTTATCGAATACCAGGACAACATTAAAATTCCAAGCATCACCATGATCTCAAATGGAAGTTGCACTATCAATCGAACTATCTGTAAATCTATTTATAAGCTCAGATTCCTCACAGACGCAGTTGCCATCCCGGCACTGAAAGTAGTTTACACAGCAGATCTTGGATCCCGATTGCGCTATGGTACCATCATTTGGGGACCTAAATTTACCAAAAGCTGCAATTACAGCGATTTTCTAGATGGCAAGTTGTACTACATGCAGACATATATTTATCGAAAGTAGGCGTCATTTCCCTGCATATGCTTGAAGCCGCCACATATGTACAGTCATTGACAAAAGTAATGATCGTCAAATAGGTAAACTCTGCAGCATAAGCAACCAACATGCCACAGACTCCGTCTTCGAGGAGGAGATACCTTAATTTGTTGGTTCGCTTTTCCAAGTTGTAGGTATATATTCAAATGTTCGTCGCGTATGCTGCAGGGTTTATCTATTCCGCGATCGTTTCTTTGGCAGTACCTGTACATAAATGCAAAAGAAATTTTATTCTTGAAAACAACATGAATATAATTAAAATTGCAACAGTTGCAGTTGGTTCGAATCGGAGTTCACGCATGGACATTTGTAAATGTATAGTGTTGGATTGGTTGAGTGAAAATGTGCCCACTTAAAAATAAGTACAAGCTCTCAGGCAAGAATTTTGCAATTTCTAGCTAAATCAATTGCAACAAGGTCCACTGTTTTAAGAGAAAAATTATATGGTCGTATTTAGATAATGTCATATACCACGTCTCTCATCTAGGAATAAAATCACATTTCAGTTGCCAATATGAAGGACCAATATCAGACAAAGTTTTTTTCAATGCGTAAAGAAGATTTTCATTACATGCTACAAATTTTGGAAAAATTAGCTTCTTTAATTGTTTGTGTGAAAATTCAATCAAAAGAAACTTTGATACTAATCCTTGAATGGGGTCATCCCGCCTTCATTTTTTATTTCTAATCCACAAAGTACATTAAAAATAAAAAGACCCGTGTGTCCTCAATTTTTATTTGCGAGTAAAATAAATCCAAAATAAATTACTGAAAAGCTGTGTTTTTAGTCCGAATTTGAAACGCTTCAGACTAAATACGTCACAAACCTACAACCAATCACGTAGAAGTGAGTTGGCAACCTTACGCGAGGCACATTTGACGTTTTGAGAGGGATGTTTAACTGCATCTAGCACGAAAGTGACAAGTGCCTGTGACAGATGACGCAAGTTATAAATGCCATTCTCCTGCAATATTGCCAAGTCGTTATGTCCTGAATGGTTCTAGGAGCTGATTGGTCGGGCTTATTACGTCACAGAGCCCGCCACAATCATATCGTTTTGAATAAACCTTTAAAACCGCACATGTTCATTATTTTTTTTGCTAATCAGCCTCTATTTTTAAATAAACTTTTACTGTCCAAAAAAATGTTTTATGGTTTCAGGTACACGCTTATTAAATTAGAAATGCGGAATTCAACTGTACTGTAAACCCCCATTTAAGGGGACATATTCTATCAAATTCAATTAAAAAACATAATTATGCTATTCCAAATATTGAGTCCCCGAAATAATAATTTAAAACATTTTAACTATGGACGTTTTGTAGTATTATTGCAGTCATTAAATATGGTTTTTAGTCTTCTTTACCTAAGCGCAACTTTTTTACATTATGGTGTATAGATGATTATAGTTGCAAGAAACAAGATGCCCGCCAAGATATACAGACTTTATTTACAAAAACAGATTAGCGCAATAATCGGTGCAAAACATCTAATCTTTAAACAATCGGTATTCAGTTGCTATAAACTTTTTTAAAAAAATAGCCCGAACATTTTGTAGATAAAGGTCTAAATTTATAAAATAGGTAGTTCTTAAAAAAAGTTGTTTTTTGAAAAACAACTTGAGTTTTTATGGCGGGCGCTCTTATGAAAATTTAGATTGGGTGCAGTGGGTACACAAGCGTCTTAAATACTTTAAATAATTAGTGCCCAGGACTTGCACTTCCTAGATAGTCTTACTATATTGTCCTTATAAACTAAGAGCCAGTGACCGAGGACCTTGATTGCAGAACCGGCTAAATCCAGTTTCATTAAATTGTGGGAAAACGGCAAAAACCTCTTACTGCAAGGCCTGCCAGGTATTCAAAAAATAAAAAAAAGTTCTTTATAGAGGTTAATGTGCTTGTTAGATATGACATATTGGTATTTTGATAATTTTTTTCATTTGTCAGAAATTTAAAAAAACGTTTCGATGTAGATCAGATCATTGAACAACCGAACGTGCTTTATAAAATCAAACATTGCATCTTTGATTGTCCCTATCTATTGCAAGTACAAGAACGTATACATTACGTCCGTTACAACCTTTCATGTGACAAGTACCAATTTTGGTTTGAAGATCCACATGCGAAGTGTGAAATTTCGATAGGACAGCAGTAGTGGGACATATTTTCGTCACTTATTTTTTCTTTTTTTCCTTATTGATGTATTAGTAGGGGGGTACAGTTTTGGTCACAAGTAATGTCCCTCGATTATCTCAAGTGTAGCACGCATATAATTAATATATCAGATCTCCTGTGAGGTTTGAGCTTCTTTTGAAAATGAGGAAAGCAACCGACATATTTTTCATGACTTCCTACAGTTG